GGGGGGTGTGTCTCACCCAGGGCCAGCAGGGTCGCACTGGTGCTCAGCGCCGCCCTGCTCTGCAGGAACAAGGTGCTGCGGCTCTCGGGGGACCTCAGCGAGCCGGGGGAGATGAACTGGCAGATGATCCTCTGCTTGGTCACCACCTGGGTCGTCGTCTACTTTTGCATCTGGAAGGGCGTCAAGTCGACTGGGAAGGTGACGCTGGCGGTGGGGTGGGACACATGTCGGGGCCACTGACATGCGGGTTTGGAACAGCAGCACACGGCACTGCATGCTCCTGGCTTCCTGTGCCGCAGCCCACAGGGGGGCGACCCCCTGTCCTACATCCATCTGGGAGGTGCCACCAGCTGCTGGGGAAGTCCCTGAGCCTAGTCTGGCTGGGACACCTGTGGCACATGATGGAGACCCAGCCTGGGGGTTCTCACCGGCACCCTCTCCTCTGTAGATTGTCTACTTCACGGCACTCTTCCCCTATGTGGTCCTCATCCTGCTGCTGGTCCATGGAGTGACACTGCCCGGGGCGCTGGGCGGCATCGTCTACTACCTGAAACCTGACTGGTCCAAGCTGGCCGAGGCACAGGTGAGGGTGGTGGGGAGGGCAGGAGGGGGCTGGGTGCTGGGCACCTCCCCGGCACCCTCCTCACCCCCCAACGCCCTCCCTCGCACCCCAGGTCTGGATCGATGCTGGCACCCAGATCTTCTTCTCCTATGCCATCGGGCTGGGCGCCCTGACCGCGCTGGGCAGCTACAACCGCTTCCACAACAACTGCTACAGGTAGGGTGGTGCCAGCTGCAGGGCACCCCCCTGGTGTGTCCCCTGGCGTCCCCCCAGCACCCCCTGACCTGCTTTGCCCACAGGGATGCCTACATCCTGGCCGTGATCAACAGTTCCACCAGCTTCTTTGCCGGCTTCGTCGTCTTCTCTGTGCTGGGCTTCATGGCCTCCGAGCAAGGCGTGGACATCTCCAAGGTGGCCGAGTCTGGTAAGTGCTGGGCAGTGGGCGCCCACCGGTACTGTGTCCCCTGTGTCCCCCGCCTGAGGTGGCACCACTGACCCTGCTCTCCTGCAGGCCCTGGGCTGGCTTTCATCGCCTACCCCAAAGCCGTGACGCTGATGCCCTTGTCCCCGCTCTGGGCCACGCTCTTCTTCTTCATGCTCCTTGTGCTGGGGCTGGACAGCCAGGTGCAGCGGCGGGCAGTGGGAGAGGGACGGGGAGGGGATGGGGTGGCACGTCCCTGCTGAGCCCCTCTCTCTGCTGCAGTTTGTCGGTGTGGAGGGTTTCATCACGGGCATCCTGGACCTGTTCCCCCAGCCGGGGGCCGGCTCGCTGCGCCGGGA